GACGATCAAGTTAGTATAGGTCGGATTCCCAGTTTAGTTCGAGGTCAGAAAATCATCGTACCTGATCGTGGAGTGAGGTCCTCTACTTATGGGTGGTAGTCCCGCTAATCTCGCGACGGTTACACCCGGTAATCTCGGGACCGTCGGTTACACCCGGTAATCTCGGGACCGACGGTTACACCCGATAATCACGTCACTGACAGTAGCTCACATCGGCCCCTACCGAGCTTCCCGATAGGTCGGACCTCGGCCAGGTTCACCTCGTCTCTCATACTTAGCATCTATCAACGCTAGTGGTGGTGATCTCGGCGGTCCGAGCTGGGCATGACTCATGAGTCATCTTGGAGCACCAATAGGGGTCCTCCACGTGTCCAGGGTATTCTCTTCCCCAAACAAGTTAGTTGCTCCAACAAATCCTTCCTTTAAAGCTCATCTGGCAACATATCATCCAAGATACGTACAACAAAGTACTCTTCTAACTCAACAGAGTACTTCATTGCATCAAAAACAGAAATTGTTACCTCTTGGTCATGCACCCACATTGTTAGCTCACATCTTTGGACATGCACCAATGCCTTCCTGTTGCTAAAAAGGGTCTTCCCAAAATAATTGGAATATCCTTTTCAGCTTCATAGTCTAAAATGATGAACTTATCGACTTGAACTAGCACATTCTCAATCTTTCCCTTCTAGGTATGTGATTGATCTATCTATAAGCTGTAGAGTCAAAATGGTTGTTCTTGCTTCACCTATCCTTAACTTCTTATAGATAGATAAGGGCATGAGATTCATGCTTGATCAAAAATCACAGAGTGCTTGCCCCATATCCTTACTGCCAATGGAAACTGGAATGGTGAAATTTCATGGTTCTTTCATCTTTTGAGGAAGTTTGCTAGTCAAAATCGTGCTACATTCCATGGTTAATGCCATAGTTTCAAACTCACCCAATCTTCTTTTCTTTGTAAAGATATCCTTCAAGAACTTTGCATAGTTCGGCATTTGCTCAAGCGCCTCAACTAGGGGAATGTGAAGTTGTTTTAGAACATCCAAGAACTTCTTGAATTGAGTATCTTGATTTTTCCTCTACAATCGTTGTGGGTAAGGTGGAGGTGGTGGCTGGAACTTTGCTGTTTTGGTTTCAACTACTGGTTGCTTCTGTTTTTCAAACCCTCTGTTAGACGATGCTCCAGTATCAAAGTTCTTGGAATTTTCAGTATATTGTTTTTCTGTAGTCTATTGAATCTAGTTCTTCTTCTGTAATCTCCATAGGTAGGGAGCCGTAGGTTTGTACTATGTCGGGGTTGCTTAGCCTTTGAGTCTATAGTATCGCTCGTACCTATGTCCCTTCCATATTGATTCTTCTACTTTTTTGTGCTTGATTCCCCTGAATACTTCCCCAACTGAAATTAAGGTGTTGCATCCACCCTTGATTATAAATATTAGCGTAGGGGTTGTTTCTGTTTTTATTAGGATTCCCTAAATAGAACAATAAGGCTGGGTTTCTTGGAAAATCATTAAAATGATGCTCACCCTCACAGTAAGAGCATGAATAACATGTACATTACTTACACCAGTGTCAGCAGGTGATGCCCCAGCCATGGTCATGTTCTTCATCATGTTAATTAAGTTGAAATATAGGATTTAATCAATGTACATCATGATGGGACATTAATCCCGCAAGGAAAACGATGATCTTGTTCTTGAATTTTTAGGAATAAAATCACAATACCAAAGAAAAATACAGGGGAAGAAATTAACTTACATTCGAAGACGTTTCTTCAAGATTCTCTGTAAATCAATCTATTTCACTACCATTGATCTTCCCGACTATTCTCTGGGTACGAGAATTTGCTTGTGGGAGCAACGAACTCGGAAGAATGAGATTGAGAGAGATTGAAAAGCCTTAGGAGAGAACAACATGCAGGGGAAAAATACATTTGATAACCTATAGTTGTATTAAATATTAATTAAAATTAAAATTAAAATTAATTATATTAATATCAATAATTAAAATCTATATATAATTAATTAATCTTATTAATTAAATAATATTATTAATTAATTATTAATCTAATTTACAATTATATATATATATAATAATAATAATTAAATAAATAATTAACACTTAATTATTTATTAGCAATATAGAATCATATTCTAAAGCCTTTCTCTCGTATAACCTATAGTTGTAATGTACATCTTATGCACATTATTTTTGAACATATAATTTTAATATGAATCCTATTCATGTTGATTTTTATTTGAATCTAACTCAAATGATTTCTCTCATAATATATAGTTTCAATTTAGAATTAACCAGATATTATAATGTACCAATATACATATAATCCCTTGAGCAATTTGAACATTTCAAATTCTTCCAAAAAAAAAACTTGATCCTCGTTTTACCCGTTGTGAGCTAGCAGGGGAACTAATGGACCTTCAGATCAGAAGCTTCAACGATACGAGATCAATCGGTCAAACTCATTAACCGAGTTAATTAACATTCGTTAGCTACGAGTCACTCCACTAAAGACACGCAACTACACTCTTCTCACTGTAGAATATTTTCGTGTCCACGGATATACAACAATTAATGTCAACTCAATCTTTGAAGAGTGCTCGTAACTCAAGCTGAGTCTACTGTTTTACCCCTAAGTTACATCTTACTCATTAAATACCATTGCTCCTCTAGTGAACAACCTGGTTATGGTCCGACCAATAATCGGAAGTCCCTCTCGAGCCCCTAGTTCAAGTCCCGAAGTCAGCACTTAAGTGAACACTCATCTACTTATTTTGGGACTTTCGGTTATTGGTTGGACCATAACTGGTCTGAGAGGGACTTCCGGTTATTGGTTGGACCATAACCGTCGTTCATTAGAGGATCAGCGGTACTTAAGACATAAGATGTAACACATGGGTAAAACAGTAATTTGAAATTAAGTTCCTATTTATTTTGGGAACTACATACATTATCTAATAATATATGTGTGTTCTTGTCTAAAAATAACTTTAGGTCTCCCACTGCGACTGTTGAGACGACATCTCCCGTTCCGACTTTGAGAGTCATCTCCCCAACATCAAGCTGCTTCTAGGAACTAATTCCATAAAAAGAAGAACAAACATGGTTAGTGGCCCCTGAATCCAATATTTAGGTAGAATCATCATTCTCCACTAAGCAAGTTTCAAGAACAAGTAAATCATATTTACCTTCTTTGTCTTTCTTCTTTTCGGCCAAGTATTTCAGGCAGTTTCTTTTCCAGTACCCATCGACGTTGCAGTGGAAACATTTTCTTTTGTCTGTAACTTCGTCCTTGCCCTTCTTGGTAGCAGCAGTAGTAGTAGGGTCAGCTTTCACAGCCTTACCATTGTTCTTCTTCTTCTTGAAAGTCTTCCTACTAGAAGAAGAAAGTACGTATTTGGTTCCTGAGGTCGAACCTCGGTGGAACCGTTATGAGGTGACAACTTTTGCCTTTCCTACCTGTCCCTTATTTTTCATAAGAGACTGAAAAATATGTAGCTCATTAAGAGCATGGTAAGGTTGTATTTTATCTTGCTCATCACAGCAGTACTGCGAAACTGTAGGAAACTCTTCGGAAGAGATTCCAAGATAAAGTGACCTGGCTCCCTTCGTCTATGACAACCCCGTTCACTTCAGCCACATTAAAGTGGACCATCAAATTGAGAACATGTTCTCGTACTGATGTTTCCTCATTCATGCAGGAATTGTAAATGAACTTGAGGGCATCATGTCGGGTTTGAATGGACAGTTGTCCAAACACGTACCGGAATAAGTCCATGATCTCCCTTACAGTGACCATGCTTTCATGCTTCTTGACCAACACATCAGATATGCTTGCCAATGTGTAGACCTTGACCTTGTCATTAGCCTTGATCCATCTTTCATAGGCATCTCGACTGGCTCGGGCTGCATTAGGCATGGGAGCCTGAGGACACTCCTCGGTTAAGACGAACCTAATCTACCACGAGTATCATGTTAAGATTCATTTTCCATTGTGTGTAATTTTTGCTGTTAAGTTTTTCTGGGGCAAGCAGGACAATGACAGAAGTAGACATGCCGAAATACAAACAAATCTATATTATATTATTGCACTACCTATTAAAATCGATCAATTTTAGCATAAAGTAATAATATACCCTATCAATCAAGATTACTTTTGCAGCGATGCTTCAGTGATTTAGAGCAACAGCTACCATGGGGCAGTCAGCTACTCCTACACTGAATTGAGACATTCTCAACTAAATATTACACCAGAATAACTCTTATTCCTATAATAGTTAGTCACCGTTTGTTTGGTCAAGAAGTTATTAACTAACTTAACAACTTCCCGTAAGTGTGACCCGCCATTTTCAAACCCCAGAGTTCCGCCCCAATAAGCATGTCATAGGGAAGGACAAATATTGGTGCAAAACCTAAGAGACCTTATCCATTTCTGAAGTTCGCCCTAATTTTGATTCAATACAACAGACCCTCTGTAGGGTGGTCGCTTGTTGGGACTTTTCTCTACTTTTAAAAAGATTAGAGACTCGTGCAAGCACACATGGTCACAAGTAATACTTGGGATTAATCCAAGGTCTCAGGGACTTGTTGTTTTCAAAACAGTTTTTAAAGAAGTGAATGGTTCAAATATGCAATTGTAGTTTATGAAGAAAATAGTGATGAAATGTTGTTTTTTGGGGTTTTAAATATCAACCAATTTAAAAAAGAGAATGTTTTCGGAGAACTATTTTAGAAACTTATTTACACAAATGTCTAAAATTTTTCAATTTTACACTTTTAGATTTTTGCATGTAGGATTTTATTTTAATACCAATTTTACCCATTTACATTTGTTATAGTTATTTGTTTTTTTTTCAACATAAAAGATTTAATTCCATAAATTGTCATCATTATCCTTTAATTATTGTTGGCCCCCATACAAATTTTAAACACTAATGTATTAATTCACTCCTTCGAAAAAGATTTATTCTCTTCATTTACTAATATTATTATTTATTAATTATAAAAATATCCAAATCATTCTCAATCCTTTTGTAATTTCCCACCGTCAGATTTCCACTTAATTCACTACTTGAACATTATAAATTATATACAACTAAACTTTTTGAGTTATAAGATATATCCGAATATAAACTAAATTCCATATAAACTTCAATATCCTACCATTATGGTCAAATTACTTACAACTATCTCTTTTAGTTAATATTTTAATTCAAACTAATTAATAGTTACAACTAAATAATTCTAATTATTTCTATATTTTTTTTAAATATACCCAACTCAACTCAGTATAAGGAATCAAACTCATTAGAAGAGTTCACACGAAATCATAAATAAAAAATAATTGTTGGAGACTACTTGGTCATTGAAGGAACATTGAAAGGGTTTAACAGTACAAAAACAAATGAGAAATCTATCATGCCATGCTTCATCAATTTCTATTTTCCCTTTCAATGACTATTAATTCTTTTTTTGGAGAAATTATGTCTAGCAACTCAAGTATCCAGCAATAATTGTTTCTGTTTCACTACAAATTTTGCTATATATTTCTTATTTATGCCCATCAATTCTTTTTATGTTTTTATCAATGTTAATGTTGTATACCTGTATTTATTATAGGTTATAACATATATACTATGTGTACTTTTGAAATCAACTATTATTAGTGATATAATTAAATACTGTATATACGTCTTTATATTAGATTATAACTTGTATATCATGTATTATTATAAAATTTAAAAAATTATTTTTGTATGTACAATATTTTAATTTTAGTTTATCTGCATATATATTTCTTATTATGTCAATCAATTTTGTTCTTGTTTTTTCATTAATTTCATTTTATGTTAGTGCTATATATAAATACTTATTATAGGATATAACATACATACTACGTGTACTTTTGAAATCAATTATTATTAGGATTCGGGACTTGAATTAATTATATTATAGAACTTTATTTATAATAAAAAATGTCATGCCGCCACTCTGATTCGAATCGAGATACTCTATTTATAATAAAAAATGTCATGCCGCCACTTTGATTCGAACCGAAATATTCTAGCACTGCTTCCTAAGAGCAGCGTGTCTATCGATTTCACCATAGCGGCTTTCTTGAAATCATAATAACCCTAATAATATACTTAATATACGGCCTATTTATGTTGGGTTATAACCTACCTACCATGGAGAAGATTGTTAGAGATAAAAAAGAGAGAGTTCTTAAACAATGGAGACTTCAACACCCATGGAAAGCATTAGTGTGCAATACTTCAAAACTCCTCTCGAGGCAACCTTATCCTTAAAAGCCTTGAGATTCCTCTTTAACCAAATGAACGAAAGCACTCAATTGCAACAAAACCCACAAAACTCTATTAACGAAAACCCACAAAAATCTCACAACAAAATAGAAATAAACAATTCGAAAATCAAGAATCTAGTGTAGTATTAAAACCAAAAATCGAATGCACAAAAATTGAATAAGTTTTAAATACCCAAAATCGAAGATCCAAAACCAATGTAGAAGATTTAAATACCTAAAACAAACACAAAAAATCTCTCTTGCATGTGTGCTTAAGTTGAATATGGCGTTTAAATAAAGAAACACGAATATTGAAAGCTTACCTCCCACTATCGGAAATGACTGCCGGAATGTTGGATGAAGAAGAATGAAGAAGACGAAGAACTGGCCGTTTGAGAGAGTCACTATATTGCAGCAGCTGCTGGAAAAGGAAAATGGAACAATGGAGAAGATGAAGGGATTTGGTCAATTTTTTAAATAAAATGTTGTAATTGTGGGATTTAAAAAATAAATGACTACTTTTCCATTTTAGTTTTTAATCATTAAATATTAATTACATATATATAGAAGAGGATATATTTGTAATTCCATCTCAAAAGGGTGTATTTTATGATAAAAGTGAAAATTTTAAAAAATGAATCCTTTTGTGTAATTAGTATTTCCAAATGGTCTATTAATGTACTTCTCCCTTAATAAAACTCAACCACTTTACTTCGTCCCTTAGTTTTGATGCAAAGCGTGGGAAATACACACTCTTGGGAAAATGTGTCAAGCGCAATTCTAGCTTTTCTTTGGAAGCTGAGTTCTACTATTTCACTATAGCTTTTGGTTGTTGTAGAGGCTAGAGTAATCTACAATCATATGTCTATGTGTGATTACAATTTTAGAGAATATTTATCAACTCATTTGCATTATGGGTCAGATGACCTATGTCTAGGACCATGTTTTATGTACTTATGTCTAAGTCACATCCCATATTGGTTTCCTATTATTTTACCTAACTCACCCTTTTCAGGGTTGGGCTTTATTGTATGAATCAAGTTCCCACTGGCCAAATGGAAAATGACGTATAGAGAAGTTTTTAGAAACCAACCTAAAAAAGTGTCAAGTGCAATTCTGGGCAAAATCCCGAGCGTGTTGAAATCAAATCATTTTGACTAAGGCATTTCACAAAGAGGTTGATAACTAATCTAGTGCATAATTAAAGAAAGAAAATGCACGTAAACATAAAGGAAGTATTTTTCATTGAATTAAAACGAATAATTAAGCTGTACAAGGACTTCTAACTTGACTCTCTTCTCTTTCGAGCGTGAGGGGAGTGTAAACTCACTAAAGAACTAAAGAAGAATAGAATAAATGAAAAACAAAAGGTAGAACTTGAATTAAAAGCAATAGGGTAAGCAAAAGTATGAAAATACAAGGAAATAACAACTAAAACTTAAATCTAAAGCATATGAACGAGTTCTGCAACAAAGAAGTAATGAAATGAAGTTGAAAACGAGCTTGGATGGGATGATTTGCTACTGGAGGAATGACTTTCTTATATAGGCCCTTGAAGTTGTTGAGCTTCCCACCATTTTAGGTGGAAATGAGTTGAGATTCACCTAACTAGTTCCATTTGAATTAGACTCACGGTTGTAGCTTGATTCAAACACATAGAAAATCTCCTCCTTGCCCTTCATTAATCAAAACGCACGCTTTGGCGAAATGTACTTCAAAATTGTGTCAGGGACAATTTCTCCAACAACAGAAAACTGTTATTTTCTTCGAACTTTGACCGCATTTTCTCACATTTTTCCTAAAGTACCATATATTGACTTTTATCCAAAAATGTTCTATGCATGTTCTAATTTAAGAATATGTAATTCTTTTTGGCAAATAATGATGGGAAATGGTTCAAAATTGTGGTCAAACAGGCCTACCGACACAACTTTCTATAGTAAAAAGTCAACCCTAATACATCCCCAAACTTAGCCATTTGCTTGTCCTCAAGCAAAAACAAAATCAACAAATCTAAAACAATCAACATGCTAGAAAGATGAATGAGCAACAATCTAAAGATTCTAAGTAAATGAATCATATACATCTCAAGAAAGGTTCCACAATCTAAATGTCCTAACTTCACTTTCAAGCCAATATGTTATAAATGAATCTTGTTTTGAAAATAAAAATGATTCTAAACTCCTTTTCTAAAACACAAAACTTTTTGCGAAACCAAGGAATATGCACACTTCCGTTTTGATTAAAAAGGTTTTACATCAAAAAGACACGTGGATCGGCTATTAGCCCTTGAGATTTTCCACACACTAACATCGTTTCAAACCACAGCCACTCATAGAAACTCTTTAGGTAGCAACTCGGCATAAAATGATGTCGACAATAGTTTTCACGAAGTCACCTTAATATGTAGGCTACTACCTTCCAAGATGCTAACACCACCCATTTAAAGATAAAATGAATGTCTACAATGGGGACTTTACCTTAATATGTAGGCCACCCCTTCCAAGATTCTTACCACTCTTGTCTTTCTCTCACTTTTATTTTTCTTTTCAAGACTTTTTTTTTTTTACTTTCTTTTTTCTTCTTTTGAATTTTTTTTTTCCGTAATCNAGAAA